AATCCAATTATTTGAGTTAAATAAAACACTTTTCTTAAGTCAATTTCTATACAGTTAGTTTCAAAACGAAGTCCAAATTCTTGAGTTAAATAACTTCATTATTTTAATTAATGACATTTTAAATACACAGAAGCAGTGGTGACTTACACAAATAATTAAAACTAATTCAAACTGAGTATAATTTGACATTATAAATAGGCAGACGAGTAGAGTATACGTTTTCTTAATTTTAAATTCGCGCATAACAAAAAATCTAAACCTTTTCCTGTAAAAAGTTCATTGTTGATTCTGAAATACGAGAATTTTAGTAAATCTTGTTTTTCTATAATAACAACTTTTTCGTTATTATAGAATCTATGTATATCTTTGGTACTCCTGACTTAAGATGTCCGAGTCCGAAAATTGCCACTGACAATCTCCGATTGCTATTGTTGCTTTATATGCTTTCTAATGATGTTTGTGTCGAGTTCTGTCCCTAGCATTTATACTGTTTATCCATTTGGCAGTCAATCTTATACATTTTCAGAGGATCCGAAATAAAAAGAGGAAAAACGAGGACCATCGTCGTTTCGTACATCCGAAATTTTTTTTTTCTTGCGTGCTACGTGAATTTCGGAAAGTGTCTTTGTGACTTGGGAGTGGTGTATATATTGAATACGCCGGGGTTAAAATGGATAGCAAAACGTGTTTTACGCGACGGGGCGAGAAAAAGAAGGCGGAGGAGGAGAGGAGAAGGAGGAAAGGAAATAAGAATTCCCTGTCGGCACCGGGAAGCTGCCCTCCCTCCGGATATTTCTTTCTCTGGCAGTCTGACAAGCGGAGAATTTTCATTCCGCGTGTGCGCGCCTCAGTACCTAAGGTAATATTCCTCGCGGCACCGGCTACTCTTGAGATATTAATTCTTAATCTGTCATCCTGGAGAGAGATCCCCGGTCGGTCGATCTCGCGCCAAGATTTTCTTCGCGCCCGACGCGATGCGGTCTATTAAATCTCGTCAGTCGTCAATACGTATAGTTAAGTTTTTCGACGAATGTCTTTTCTGTATCTCGGTCGCTATATCGCCGGAATGAATCAGATCGGTATAGTAATGATATTAATTAAAAACTATTTTTTATTTAGTTTTCTGTCTTTGCTTTTACTTTCTCTTTCTCTCTACAATGAATTATTAATTTCACGAATAATTAACTTTTATCAATTTTATTTGTTGATTAATAATTTGATTAAAACCATGATAAACTTTAACTACATTCAGACCTAATCTTCTAACGGACTCTCCAGATTCCAAACATGAATTCCAGTAATTGAGGGCGAATAAGAGCACAGCGTGTTTTATTGGTATGCAAATTAATAAGAAGTGGATTTGTGTGTCATGTAAATCCTTTATTCCAAATCAAATATAAAAGATATAGAAAGTTTCGATTCGCTTTGGAGTCATTCTCAGCTTGATACAAATCCATTTCTTATTAATTTGCGTATCAATAACAAAACGCTGCACTCTCCTCAATTACTCGAATTCATGTTTTTAAATACATTGATATACACATATTATCTATTTATAGGTTTCGAGACAATTAACCACATTTTTATTTCAAAAGTGACACAACTAAAAAAATAATTAAAAACATATATTTATTAATTACACATTTTAAATTACAGATTTTTATTTTTCATTTTAGACAAATGAACTTCATATTTATAAAAATCAGTTTCTTCAAAATTTCAAAACAACATTTCTTCGATTCTCAATATAGAGAGGTTTCCCATGTAAGATAAACTTATCAGTGACTTAATCAGTATTGCCACACGCGTTTAATATTTTAAAGTATTTAAAAAGGTATGATTTTCTTTTAATATTACTCATGATTGAGTTGGAAAGTTTTGGATAACGGCTGATATGAGACAAGGAAAATATTTAAATATTTTGAAATATTAGACGCGTGTGGCAATACTGATTAAGTCACTGATAAGTTTATCTACACAAGGAAAACTACTCTATATTGAGAATCGAAGAAATGTTGTTTATGCATTAGTGTGCATTTTATTGTGCCAATTTTGAAGAAACTGATTTTTATAATAAGTTCATTTGTCTAAAATAAAAAATAAAAATTTGTAATTAAAAATGTGTAATTAATAAATATATGTTTCTAATTATTTTTATCCAATACCTCCCTCCAATTGATGGAAACTGTAAAATGTAATATACCAATCATCAAAAAGTAAACTAACTTAACTTCATAAAAAGATTCATCAAAGTCGTTACGACTCAGAGTGATTTAAAAATATCCGTCACAACTAAAAAAGAATGACTTTTTAAGGATTGCGAAACGAAAATGATAGTAACGACATTTGATGATGTTAAGAATACATTCTTTGTGTCGATAAGCTTAAATGTTATTTAATTAGTCAATAATTTCAAGTTGAAAAATATTGTAGCTTTCATCTTTTCTGAGAAACTTAATTTTTAGTTAAAAGGCACTTTTATAGCGTGATATGATAATATATGTTATGTACGAGGAAAAGGCCCCTCAAGGGAGAGATAAGATTATTTGTATCAGCACTAAAATGTATTCGTTTACGAAAACTGTGAATTCTGTAAGAGCTGTTGCTTTATTAATACGTGAAACTTTTGCTCTTGACAGTGATTATTCCTCGTCAATCTAACGGCCGCAAGTGTCAAAGTTTATCGCTCGAAGAGTAACGTACTTCCCAGAACCCCTCCTTTGGCACACTTGTTGCTCAAATAACGGATAGTGAAAGACGTATCGTCGTCACCCACGTGTTTATCGTATAAAAAACCACGTTTAAGCTTATTGCCCTTTACATATATATACATATAATACACACGCATATCGCAATTCACAATGCAAATGCCCTCGCAATGTCGCGTGTTCGAAGTAAAAAGAAAAGACACGTATAACTTTTTCATGCAATTTTGAGTCGGAAAGTTTTTAATCGGCTCGCTTGCGTGGTCGAGGCGTGTCGCTTTGAAGTAAAAATTTCTTAACGACTCCTTTTAGAAACTATACGAACCACAGAAAGAGGATATCCCGGAGGTAACTCTCGAGGGAACGACTTACGGTCTCCATGATAAAACCAGAAGAGCATCAGATGCACTCTCTCGTTTTAATGACGCCTCCTTTGACGAATCTGTGGTTGGGCTTTTCGCGAAAATTTAATGAGAATCTAACGTTCTAATTTTTAACATTAAATATACTTTCATAATTAAGACGAGTGACATACGCAAGTTAACGACACTTTATATGGTCTGTTTAAGTTTTGCAATTTTTTTCCTAAATTTTTGCTAAGTCCAAAATTGAAAATAGATTCAAAATAGGAAACAAACATAAAAAAATTGCAGTCGATGTGTGTACATTCAGTATACCTAATTCAGTATACTTTGGCCATATTGATTCTGTCTTACAAAGAGCTTTTTTTTCTCTTTGATCACAAATAAAACGTTGTGACGAAAATATAAACTGAATGTATAGTATTGTGAAGTACAGAGCTATACAGTAAAATGGACTATGAAAATTATAATAACCGCACGTCTTGAGATAGATGTAGGAAGCAATTATCTACATACGAAACATTAAACTATATGATATTCTGGATTTTGCTTTACTGATATAATAATAGAATGAACAAACTCAGCAATAAACTGATGCAATCTAATCAGACAGACAGTTTGCAACTTAATACTAATGTTATCTGTTGAATTCACCGACATTATCTACGTAATTACTCACTAATAGCGAGTAGGGCACGAAATCTTTTCTATTCATAATTATGAGTCGTACAAACTGTGCGATGGTTTATGTACACGCTAAATTTACGAAATACAAATCTCTCAATAAAATATTAACAGGCAAATGATATTGTTAACGTACAAATACGGATAAGCATATTCAAACGATTGTATTTGTGACGTAATGAATAAACCTTATCACGGCTGAGAGTATAGTAAACTATGCAGACGCAAGTCAACATTAATTACGCGTCAGTATTTCTGAAACATCTCGCTGAAATCCGTCAAGTGTTTGACACAAGGCATATACGTTCTAAATACGATGGGAGCGGCATGACCCATTATTTATCTAAAGCTCTAATGCACATATGTTAACTTGATAAAGTGACTAAGTTGCATTACCACGAGTATGCCGCTAACTATTGATTTTCCGAAAATATCATACTTAAGACTTCGGGAAGTTTCCACTTAGTATTTACGTCCTTACCTTATCAATATCGCGCACATGTATGGCGCGTATATTCGTGAAACGCTTAGGAGAAGCTCGAGACTCCAGGACGGAGATAATGTTACCCCACTGATTCCGGTTTCTCCAACCGTAAGACATCCGTGCAAGCAAGTAATCCGACCTACATCCTCTTACGAGTGTAATTTTACAATTCATTAATTTAGTGAGTTTGCTTTGCTATTAGAATTAATTACAACTCAATAAATTATTCAAGTATAGATACACTAATCATAATGCTTCTGTTTATCAAATAAAAATTTATTTGATAGAATAAACATTTATTTGAAAAAATAAAAATTTATTTGACAGAATAAAAATTATTATTTATTTGATTATCTGAATTTGAATGTTTCTATTATCTATACGGTTTTAACACAAATTAAATTTGTAGATATTAAATTAAATGTAGATTTATAAATATTGAAATTAACATTTATATACATAT